CGGCGACATCAAGTTCGCGAGGCCTATATTAATTCACAGTGAAAAACAGTTAAATTAAGTGAGCCAAATTATCGCCAACGTATGAGTAAACGAGTTTTATTGTTGATAATCAAATGATGACAAAAAATAATTACAAACATAGAAATTTAATAACAAAAATAGTGTTGCCAGACAGACGATTCTGAATACCCGCAAAGTACTACTCGCTTCCATCACGCACGTGTTCGAAAATAATAAAAGTAATTATTATCTGCTTAGCTTTTTCTCCGAATTGTTCGGGGTCGGCTACCTAAGCCAGGCCAGGAGAAACGAAAATAAATAGGTAACTTGTAAAAAATTTTAGCGAGGCCCCCTCAGGCGCGAGGCCGTCGGCGGTGGCCGACGTCGTCGACGCCTAGCGCCGCCACTGCCAGTATTGAGGTATTAAATGTACAATATTTAAGAATTATGTTCGTTTTAAAAAAAAGTGTATTATTATTACGTTATCCAGACTTCCGGACTAATATTATAAATGCAAAAGTAACTCTGTCTGTCTGTCTGTCTGTTACTCTTTCACGCCAAAACTACTGAACGGATTTGAATGAAATTTGGTATACAGATGGTCTAGACCCTGAGAAAGGACATAGGCTACTTTTTATTGCGAAAAGGGGGTTGTAAGGGGTTAAAAGGGGGGGTGAAAAGTTGTATGGGATTGGGAACTACGAAGCCAAATTCTCTACACCGAAGCGAAGCGAGGGCGGCCCGCTAGTTTAAAATAATCAGTTATTTTAGCGATAAGTAATGTATGAAAACATGTCTGAAGTTACAAAGTCTGATGCAAAATCGAAAATTATGAGAGAAATCGTATAAAGATCGCATTAAACGGGTTCTACTGTATACACTACTTGTGTTTCACAAAGGAACACACATTAGTCTCACGTAAAGTGGAAAATTTTAAGCCCAAAAAGGTAAACTCGGCTATTGAAAAATACTGTAATACATATGCGCCGAATAATTATAAATAAAATAAATAACCCAGTATCTCTAATTAATGAAGTTAATTAACAAACATAGGTATTAGCCTAATGAGGCGCAACAATCATTATTTATGCTAAAGGAAACTACATTATTTGTTGATGTTATTGTTCCTAGTTGGTATTGTTGGATTGATTAAACTTTAAAATTTATAATAAGCACGAGAATTTCTACAATGAAGATTTTTTTTTGGGTTTCATGGCTTCGCACGACTTATGCATTTAACCAATGACAAGTGTTAAAATGTTTAAAATTCTATAGCACTCGTGGTCAAAGTAATAAATCAAGTCAAAGTAAGTGGCAGTCAAGTCAAACCCCTTTCCCTATGTTTCAGTAAATGTGTGGGGATTTACTGTCAACGTCAATTCAAAAAAATCAACAATTTCGTGGGGAACGTCAAAAGACACTTTCCGCTATTTTGTTTCACTTGCCAACACTTGTGCATGTTCCCGAACACTTAGTGGTTAATAATCCACCATTATTAGATTTTAACATCCGCCACAACACAATTTTTAACAAGAAAAACAAAACTGCTTTAGTGACGCTTCCCGATCCCGCCAAAAAGTCCCAATGAATATAATAAATAAATGTATTTTTTGTAATTTGTCTAACAAAACTGGTTACAAAGAATATCCATGTAAATATATGTATACAAAGAAAACATTGACTACTTAGTAACCTACGAGATGCAACCACAACATGCATTTCTAATAATACCTAACTACTAAGGATTAATATACAGTACATAATATGGGTTACATAATATGGGTGCTCGATGGCGCAAGTGGTTAGCGCGTTCCGCAGCGATCGTTGAATTTAAGCAAATGGGTGACCGAAAATTTACTATCCCGAGCTCCTCCGTGCTTCGGAAGGCACGTTAAGCCGTTGGTCCCGGCTGCATCTGCAGTCGTTAGCACCCACCAACCCGCACTGGGCCCGCGTGGTGGGTCATGGCCCAATCTCCCTATTCCATCCATAGGGAAGCCTGTGCCCCAGCAGTGGGGACATTAATAGGCTGATGATGATGAATATGGGTTAAACTCAATTCCTAAAAAAAAGTTAAGTTAAATCTAAAAGCTAATAGAACTTAATCAAAGAATATTAATTTTAAACATTTTCTGGTTGAGGCTATAGGACCTTTAAATATATCGAAATCATTTCGAATATTATTATGGGTTGAAAACATTCTATAAAGAGGAAAGTGATTCCCGAGTCTTGTCTTACAGGGCAGTACAAAAGTCTTTAGGTTTTGTCATACGGCTTTTATTTCTTGGTACTTAAAATTTTATATGCTCTAAAATATCTGGTGAGTCTATGTGACCATGGATTAATTAAAAAAAAAAATATATCACGAACCTTTCTACGCCTGTGTAGGAGGGCTAACCTTAGATTAAAACAAAAAGGGTGTTTTAATCTAAGGGGCTAACCCATAATGTGTTGTGCGAGTCTGATAAGGAAATAAGATAAGTGAAGTTGTTTACAAATGCCATCTGAAAAAGCTAGGTGGTATAAAATTTTTTTGTTTCGTTGTATGGCCAATCATTTAAGTCATCGAGGGTTGCAGTAAATTGTACTGCACAGATTAATTGGTGAAAGCAATGACACTAGCAATAAAATGTTTTGAAAATAGTTTATTATATGTTACAAATCAAACAAAATAGCCAACATTTTTACCATATTCCACAATTGAATACTTATAAAACTGTACTAAAATTTGCCCGCAAGCACTCATTATTATATGAAGCTAGCGATACACACAATAGTTTGTGATGCCAGTAATATAACCTACTTTCCTCCAAAGTCAATCAATTTTACCATTACAGTAATATATGCGCTTGATCTTGGGTATTAAATATCGTTGTTATAAACACCAAATTAAAGGAGATTGCTCAAATTGGCCCAAATTTACAAAAAATATTGACATATACAGTAATTCTTGGCGTAATTTATAATTTAATTTACAGTCATTAGATTTCAACGGACACCTTTGTATAATATATTTACTTTAAAAAGGACTTTTAATTTTTACCGGTTTGGAAAACATACGAATCATTTTTAATGGCTATGGGTGTAGTAACATTCAGCCAAAGACTGATTGAAGTTGTTTATATAACTTATAAAGAAATCTATTTTGTAAAGATTGATAAAATAAATCATTTTTTTTATTACTCTGTGGTATTAATATCCACAACTATATTATCATTTTCAGTAGATGCAAATGTGCTCAGACAATTATTATAGATGGTAGGCGACATCATAAAGTCTATTGCCATACATTTTTCGCCAAACACCTCCATAACCACATTATAATCTGTATATACCTATGTTAGGGTGCGGCCAGAGTGCACTCAGATTCAGAGTCAGATTCAGATTCTGAAAACAAGCGCGAGAAATAAACAGTGTAGTCGAAGGGTACGGCCAGATTGCACTCCTGATTCAGATTCAGATTCAGACTCAGAAAACAAAGCGCGAGAAAAAGCAGGCAACCTGCTTAGACTACACTGTTTATTTCTCGCGCTTGTTTTCAGAATCTGAATCTGACTCTGAATCTGAGTGCACTCTGGCCGCACCCTTAGACTTTAAAGTAACTATCTATGGGCCTACGTTCCCTGACTATAAATTAATAAATAAATAAAATTATAAGGTGTGATACACTAAAAATCTAAAATATGGTTATCTTAAAAACATAACAAAAATAATGAAGCTACTGAATATATGGCTATAGAACCTAAATCTCTTAGCTTTCTTTGGTTAACGAGAGTTTAAAAATTCTCTCTAATCTGTGGCTCATTCACAATCATCACACAGTTTCTGTCACAGAGTACCTTATTATAACCGGAAAAGACACCTGATTTTAAAAGTTACTCTTATGCATTAACTTTAAAAACAGGCAACTATCTGTTAATCTATATGCTCTATATACCTGAATCTAATCCATAATTTCGGTACTTGGCTTGATTTCCCTAGTTTAATATATAACATTTGTTTTTTATTATTTTAATATGTTCAGTGTATATGGTTTATAGAAGTTCTCAGGGGTGTCCGTCAATAATATTCGTTTCTACAGTAATTTATATATAATTTCGAATCTAGGAAACAATTTTTCATGATTATTGGTCTTTAGGCCAAACATGTATGGAAGCTGAGCAATCTCCTTTCTTCTTTAATTAACTCAAAACCACAAATTTCGGAGATGTTCCGGTACTGTTTCCGATAGACGATATTTCGTCAACTTATTTTTTTTTACTTCGTCACAATATGGCGCCTAATTGTCCTTTTATTGGATTTTGATTACGATTATATCATTTAGTAGCACTCGCACGAATAAGACGAATCGATTGGCGTATGAATCATTAAAATCGGTCCACGCGTTTCGTCTCTAGTGTGCCACAAATGAACTTTCATACATATCATCATCATCATCATCAGCCTATTAATGTCCCCACTGCTGGGGCACAGGCCTTCCCTATGGATGGAATAGGGAGATTGGGCCATGACCCACCACGCGGGCCCAGTGCGGATTGGTGGGTGTTAACGACTGTAGATGCAGCCGGGACCAACGGCTTAACGTGCCTTCCGAAGCACGGAGGAACTCGAGATAGAAGAGTTTTGGTCACCCATCCAATGAACGACCACTGTGAAAGTTGCTTAAATTCAACGATCGCAGCCGAACGCGCTAACTACCTGCGCCATCGAGCTGCTCGACATTCACCTTCTCCTCACCTTCATACATATATAGACTGTTAAACACTATACCCTGTCTGCGCGTCGCGCTTCGAGCTCTTGTATTGCGCAGTCGGGTAAAAAGTTAGTGAATAAGGCCGGGTGGTGAAGGTCGCGGGAAGCCGCTGGATGCGGCTAGCGCAAGAGCGACCGGTTTGCAATTCCTTGGGGGAGGCCTATGTCCAGCAGAGGGCGTCTCTTCACTGATATGATTCTGATGATAAAAATGCTTGCTATTATATAATTTTGACTCAATATTGCAGGTCCGTCGTACTGCCTTGAAGAAACTGCTGTTGAAGGATCTCATGCAAGAAGATTGTGAGCTCAAAAACATCGGCCTCTCATATGCTCCACCTGACCCGTGAAATAACTCTACCCGTCTATTGAGTACTTACTAAAATAAAGCATACTAGTAAACCAGTGAACCAAATGTTCACCAAAACCTGAATTAAAAAAAAAAAAAAAATAAAAAATGTATTTAATTAATTGAGAACTTCGGAGATTTTGTGTGGTTTCGTTTGAAATTCGTGATTTCTCGAAAACCGGAAGTGCTACGTTACTCAAATCCGGTTTGTAGTCTTATCAGACTATTCTTAACTTATAACTTATACATTCTCTTTATCTATCTCTTACGGTTTGGCCGCTGAAACAGCACCACAGACAGACGGACGGACGGACGGACTTGTCTAATAGATAAGAGATTATAATAACTTTATAGTCAAATTAATATCGGTATGTAGTTCAGTCAGTGAAGGCAAAAATCAACTACAACCTCTGATTTCGTTGAACCTCCATCAATTTTCATGAAAATTGGTGAGCACTTGGGATTCCCCAAGTAACCTAAAGTAACCTAAAGAAACAAAAGTGACATAGTGCCAACTTGCGCTTTTGTCCTGGGGGTAGATGCCACCTCTTCCCGGGGGGTGAAAATTATTTTAATAAAATAACTCGAGAAATCGATAGAAAAATAAATTCTAAGCAAAATTTGTTATAAAAATATTTTGAAATAAATCAATACTTTCTGAGTTATCAAAGACCAAAGATTGTGATTTTTCGTTCGTTTCGAAAACCTTCATTGACTGGACTAATGGTAACTACGTTTTTGATTTTATTTATTTTTAAGCATTTAACTGCTAGATGTTTAAATCTAAAGAAAAGTTTACTAGAAAAAAATCCACGCGGATCAGGCAGCGGACGGGACTCGAACCCGCATCCTTCGCAATCCGGGCGAATGCACTGACCATTATGCTACCACGGCCCTATTAGCCGCGCCGAAATTTTCCTAGCCTTAAGCTGCAAGGCAGCGCCATCTCTTCGCATTGTAGGTAACCCACAATGTCAAATGAATACTTTTTCAAGTATTAAACATTTGAAAGAAGAAATAGCAATTATAGTTATGATTTTATTTATTTTTAAGCATTTAACTGCTAGATGTTTAAATCTAAAGAAAAGTTTGCTAGAAAAAAACCTACCTACAATGCGAAGAGATGGCGCTGCCTTGCGGCTAATAGGGCCGTGGTAGCATAATGGTCAGTGCATTCGCCCGGATTGCGAAGGATGCGGGTTCGAGTCCCTTCCGCTGCCTGGTCCGCGTGGATTTTTTTCTAGTAAACTTTTCTTTAAATAAGTTTTTTTTAATGTTTAAAGGGTGGAAAACAAGCGTATGGCCCGGCTGATGGTAAGCGGCCACCATAGCCTATCGTCCAGTGTTTCCCAACCTGTTTTTTGTTGAGGCTCCCCGGACTATAAATTATATTTTCATGCCCCCTTTACTGTTCCAATCAATACAAAAAAGCACACATTATGTTACTTAAAAGACTTTTATTTATATTTTAATAAACAAACTTTTAAAGGTAAAATAAACTAAGTGTAGGTAGTAACTAATGACTAATGAGATACTTGAGATTACATGTTCTGCACTAGTTGGTTGATTCTAGGTTCTGTTTTCGCCAGAGCTATCATCAGGTCGCTAAATCGACATCAAGACGATGTTATTTGTAAATATTTTTATTGCTTTTTTTTTTCTACAATTCAACCGCTTTACGCCCCCCTTGACATCTCTCTTTGCCCCTCTTGGGATCTCTCTTTGCCCCCCTTGACATCTCTTTTTGCCCCCCCCCCCCGACATTTCTCTTTGCCCCATTGGGATCTTTCTTTGCTCCCCTTGGGTTCTCTCTTTGCCCCCCCTTGGGTTCTCTCTTTGCCTACAAACGCTTGCGATACAAAAAATATCACTCGCTCCGTAGCTCACCCTGACCCTACCCCGTGGGGCCCTGGAACTTTACTCACTTAGAGAAACAAAACACCACCAAAAGGTACTGTTATTACACTTAGGTCTTCTGTTCTGTATGGTGGAGGTTACTTCCCCAGGCGGGTGCTCCAATTCGAGCGGGAAATCCGCTATAATAATAATAATAAATATTTCTAACACTCACACCAATTAGCCTAGCCCCAAAGTAAGCACTGTAAAGCTTGTGTTATGGGATGCTAGGGTAACGGATAGAATACATATTTTTTTTTTTTTTATTTTATTTATTTATTTAATCATTGATACATATTTTTTTTCATATTTTAATACCTTGCCAACCTGTAAACATCAGGTTGTTGGCAAGCCAACGCTCGTTTTCCTTACAGTATCATGTTAAACTAATACTACTGTTATAAACTTACAAATAATATGACTATAAGCTACTGTTAACATATTATGTCTAAGCTATTTTAAAGTGACTATCTGTTACAAATACATATTTTACGCATTATTAAAAAGAGTTTTATTATGCTTCCAATTTGAAAAAAGAGATTTTGATTTAAATATTTAGTTACAAAATATCAAGCGGTTCACTGTGAAGATTAACAATGTAATGTGAAAATAATGTTTAAGTACTTATTGATACATAGTTTTTGCTTATACAAAATAATAATAATAATACAAAATAATAATAACAATAATGTGTTCTCATTTCTGTAAAATTTCTTTCAAGGATTTTTTTAATATATGTATGCTAACATTCTTATTTTTTCTTACCCACTCTAATTTGTTTAGAATTTTTGGTATTATATATTTATTTGTTCTCATCCCATAACTATTTTTAACTTTATGTATAATAAACTTCCTTTCCCTAACACTACTTGTATTATACCTATTGACAATGAGGGGTCTATCCCACAAATTGTAATAATTTTCTTTTACTATTAAATAATCCACTTTCTTGTCTACTGGCAATATTCTACATACTTTGTATAATTTACTGTAATCCTGTTTACATTTTTTTCTTGTGTTTTTATCAACTATATATTTCAGTAACCTTATTTGTATATTTTTTATCTCGTTTATATATGTTTTATAAGTACGCCCATATACACTAAGACCATAACTAATTAAAGATTCGACAAGAGCATGATATACCATTAGTAGTGTCCGTCTGTCTAATATTTTCACTAACTGATAAAATTTACAAAAGACATTTCGGAGCTTAGTGCAAACCTGTTCTATATGCATTTTGAAGTTAAAGTTTCGGTCTATGTCTACGCCTAGGTATCTGAAATTTTCTACCATTTCTATTTTTTGACAATTGCATGCACATTTCATATTATGTAGACATTCATAAGAGTGACCTATTATGCTAAATGTGTCCTGATTCATTGTCCTAGCTGCACGGTTATAAGGTGAGTATATATGCATATATTTAGTTTTAGTAATATTAATAATGATTCCATTATCATGTGCCCATTTAGTGATATTTTCTAGATCTTCTTGGATATTTTCTGATAATTCATTTGGATTATTAGATGCAAACATGAGGCACATGTCATCTGCATACATACAAACCCTACATCTCTGGACAACATTAGCCACACTGTTTACATGCATGATATACCCAACTGGCCCATAGACTGATCCGGTTGGTACACCCAGCTCCACTTTAGCCACTTTTCCTAATTGTCCTGATATTGCTGTACACATAGTTCGCTTGCTCAAGTAGCTTCTTAACCATTCATTCATGGGTCCTCTTATTCCACATTCACTCATAGCTTGAAGCAGCATATTATGATCAAGTGTATCGAACGCCTTTTTGTAGTCTATAAAAAGAACGAGAACCTGTAGTCCAGCATCCAGACTCGTATTTACAGTTTCAGCAAAGTAGTTTAGAGCAGTACTAGTACTCCTTCCTTTCCTAAAACCGTGCTGCGCATCATGTAAAATCTTATGCTTTTCTAAAAACTCTGTAATTTGACCTACTATGACCTTTTCCATCACCTTATTAATTACCGACAATATTGCTACTGGTCTATAATTAGTATAGTCTGTATAACTACCTTTTTTGTGTATTGGACGTATGATACTTTTTTTTAATTGCTCTGGATAAGTTCCTTGCTCAATACACATATTAATAAATTTGGCTAGTAAAGGACAGATTTTCTGTTTTATATATTTTAAGTCTTGTGCTCTTATTTTATCTACCCCAGGTGCCTTATGGCAATCTATGTTTCTAATGATTCTTTCCACTTGTACCGCATTCACTTTCCTGTATCTAAATGTGACGTTACTTTCTTTTACATATGTTTTTCTGTCCATAAATTTTATATTACAATAATGTTTAATTTCTAATATTTCCTTTGTAAAAGTTGTCGTAAAGTTATTACAAATATTGGAAATATTGTCTGATTTTCCTAGGTGCTTAATTATTACATTATCTAAACTTGGCTTTACCTGTCCAGTCCATTCATTAATATGCGCCCATACTTTCCTATAATCACCATTACAATTAGTTATTTGACCCCTTCTGTACTTATTTTTTGCATAAAAAATCAACTTATTTACCTTATTCCTACACCGCGTATAATCTAACCGCTTATTCATGTTTTTAGGAGATGCTTTCCATATACGAAACAATTTATCCCTCTTTTCAATCATTTTTAATAATTTAATATCAACCCACGGTTGCTTAAATAGATTTTTCTTACCTAACACCTGTAACTTCTGACTATTTTCGTACACACTCTTGAACACATTGCATATATGATCATATAACACTAAGGGGCAGTTTAATCCGTTAAGTTTATTCCAGTCATACAATACTAAACCATCATTAACTTGTCGTTGAGACAATGAGTAACGCAATTGACCAAACACACTCACTTGATCTTTTTTGTATTGTATTTTGTCACTCATACCTGTGCTTACACAAATACCAACTATGTGATGATCCGATATGAAGCAGTCAATAATGTACGCAGCGACGCTCACGCAGTACCCGCGAGTCTGTCTCGTTCGCACCCATACATGATCCAAGCAGGACATCTCACGGCGCCCGTTCACTACCGCTTCCCGCGTTACCTCTGTATTCGGTATAACGTTCTGCAGGCCGCATACACACAAACTGTTTTTATATCTGTTTATGGTGGGATTTATTTTATTTCCCAATATGTCTAAGTTTATATCTCCG